TCCTGAACTTCTTGCCTGGAGAATCCCATGGACAGAGGAGCCTGGTGGGCTACAGTCCACGGGGTCGCAAAGAGTCGGACATGACTGGGCGACTTCACTTTCACTTTCATTCCTGAACTTTACAGCAATTAAGTAGCTTCCTTGGTCACTATTGATGTCCATGGGAACCCTGTGTGTTGCACACTAATAAACAGTGGCTTTTTGTGTGACTCAAAGAATCAGGTAGTTTTTTTGGTAATGTCCCCCATCTGTTGTACTACATCATAGACTGCTTATAGCTGTTGTTCCATCACACTCTACTTGGGACCAGAAGCCAAGGGCACTCTTGTTATTTTGCTATTGCTATAGGCTCCAACCAAACCTTTCTGGGTAACTGGCCATGTTCAACTCACAGATCTGTCTCTGAATTAAAATCCCTAAAGCCTGTGTCTGTCATTGTTTAGGGGTGGTAGGTCAGGAGTGTCCTTGAATTTTGTAGATAATCCAGGCCCTTGCACCTTGTCTGTATTCACCAGCCAGCCCCGTGCAGTCACATGAACCAGGAGCACAGGGCTGCTACTTTCAAACGGGAAAGACACGGAGGTTAACAGGATATTCTCAACACGATAGAAGAAAAAGATGTCTCTCATAGTACACAGCTGCCACAGGGCCCCACAAGCTACTGGATGGCCTCCTCAGAATCTCCCCCACAGCTTTCTCTTCCCCCATCCTTGTGTCCTAACATCTCAGCTCCCGCGGGTTTCCTTGTCCTGAGATGCCAACAGAGACATCAGTGACTTATCGGACAGAGCAACTTACCATCTGAAGGAAGGTTCTAGACCACCACTGGGTGTGGCAGACGGCAGACAGGACTGCTAGCTGGCAGCAATCCTCACTACTCCGGGGGGAAAGCGGACACTATTTATAGGGGGAAATGACGTCAGATTGGCTCATTAATTACCAAGGAAACCAGCAGCTGAGGCAGAGAGCAAGCACATGGGCAGTTACTAATTAAGCCCTATAATGAAGAGGATTGGAGAGTCATGCAAGTAAAGCAGGGATCGGTTGAGCAGAGAATGTACAGAGAGCAAGAGAACGGCCATCTTGAGTGGCCTGACCATACATCATGGCAAGCATCTTTTCTGATCCCGAGGCTGTGCGTCTGGAAATCAACTACAAGGGAAAAAACAACCCCAAACACAAACACCTGGAAGCCATGCAATATGCTACTGAATAACCAAGAGGTCATTGAAGACATCAAAGAGGAAATAAGAAAATACCTGGAGACAAATGCAAACACAACAATCCTAAAAATGCAGCACTTGGCAAGGCCCTGAGAGTGACCTCAGGTGCTGGGAGCTGTCCTCAGGCAGCAGCAAGAGCACAGGGACATTAATCCCTCAGCTGCAAGGCCCTGAATTCTGCTAACAACCACGTGAGCTGTGAAGAGGACCCCGAGCCCCAGATGAGACTGCAGCCTCAGTCAACAATTTGATTTCAGCCTGGTGATGCCCTGAGCAGAGGACTCAGCTAACCTGTACCAAGATCCTTGATCAACAGAAGCCATGGGATAAACACCTTTCTGTTATTTAAAATACACAGTCTTATCTTCCCTGGTGGCTCAGAGGGTAAAGAATCTATCTGCAATGCAGGATACCTGGGTTTGATACCTGGGTCCGGAAGATCCCCTGGAGAAGGGAATGGCAACCCCTCCAATATTCTTGCCTGGAGAGTTCCATGGACAGAGGAACCTGGTGGGCTACAGTTCATGGAATCTTAAGACAGTCGGACACAACTGAGTGACTAACACTTTCTCATCTTCTAATTCAGCAGGACCATTGTGTCCCCTGGTGGAAGCTTTCGCTTATTGGATACTAAGATCTCCAGACCTGCAGAGCTCAAAGTTGTCAGGACAGGAAGCAAAGAGCCTGCAAATGGGTTATTAGATGTAACAGTGAGAGAAGCCACTCCCACTACTGCTGCTTGTATTCTGGCTGCAGAAGCAAGAACACCTTTCTGATCCAAAGAATACACTGTACCTGTAAGACAGAACCCCATTCTTGCAGGATGCTGTCTCCCAACTGGTACCGTAATGAGACCTCAGTAAGCCATTCTCCTTTTGTTTAGGCCAGTCACTTCCAGGTGGTGGGGGGATGTGGTAAGACCAGTCAATTCCATGGGGCAAGCCCCATTACTGCACTTCTTTGTTGTGGTGTGAAGTTTCTCGATCATAAACAATGCTGTGCAGAAGGTAAGATGGTAGATAAGGCATTCTTGAGTCCACGGATGGTAGTACTAGCAGGAAAGGTCAATCTGTATCCAGAATATATACTTCCATGAGAATGACTCTCTGCCCCTCCATGATGGAAGTCCAGTGGAATCTGCCTGCCCTTACGTGACTGGCTTGTCCGCCCTGGGAATGATGCCATATTAGGGGCTCATGTTGGACTCTGCTGTTGCCCCATTAGTTGCCCCATTAGGCACCCAGCACTCACACTAGCCAGGCCAGCCTTAATATGAGAAATTCCATGTTGTCGAATCCATACATCGCCTCCATCCTTGCCACCACAGCCTCTCTGATTATGGGTCTATTGAACTAGCACTGGAGTGCTGGGGAAAGAAGCTGACTCACATCCACAGCAAGTTATTTTGTCCACATTGTCATTAAGAGCCTCCTCTGCAGTGGGTGTCCTTTGGTGGGCATTCACATGGGACACAAATGTCTTCACAATCTGTGCCAATTCAAAGAGACCTTAACTAATGTTCTGGTCTCCACTCAAAATGTCCTTAATCCCAGTCTCCATTTGCCACAATTTTTACCCACCTTGGTCTACTTCTACCTATCTTCAATGTTATTTCATCTAGACCGCCTGTCACCCACTCTTCCTTTCAAGGTTATTCTGAAGCAAATTCCAGACATCATATCACTTTATCTTGAATATTTCAGTATCTCTAAATGATAAGCACTATTTTTAAATAATCACAATACTATTTTACACCACAAAATTATTACCCCAAGTAGCCAAATAAAGTCCAAACATTGAAAGGAGTTAGTATCTCTCAAATCTCTTTCAATTCATGTTTTTCTTTTTCTCTTTTGTTGCAATATATTTGTTGAAGAAACCCAGTTGTCTTTCAAGTTTTCCATAGGCCTGATTGGCTGACATGTCGATTAACATATTCTTCTATCCCCTGTATTTCCTAAAATTTAACGGTTATATCTGGAGGCTAAATCAGGTCAAGGCTTGATTTTTTTCTTTGTAAAACAACTTCTTGGGTGGTGCTATGTGCATTCCTTAGGGGGCACATAGTCTTTCTCTTATTTTGGAATGTTATCTGTCATTGATGGTTATTGCCAGAGCCCTTTAATCATGCAGGGTTGAAAAGAGTGATATGCTATCACTTTCTTCATTTGTTATGTTTATGTATACCAATATATTACTACACACACACACACACACAGACGTTTTCCCTTCATCAACAATTTGGATAGCCAGAAATACAGTTCATGTTGAGAAAGCAGAACAAATGCTTTGCTTTCCACTTCCCTGCCCTAAATTTCAAAGTAACAAATCGAATTCCTGGAATCCACTAAGTTGACAAATGAATTTTAATATTATTATGAACTCATGCATTTAAACATATCTGATGTGTTTCAAATCATTCCAGTTGTATTCATTGATGCTTAAATTGTATCCTCTCTGCCAGTGGGAACCAATTCATGTTGGCTCTTGGATCCTATTGTCATTCATAGTTGCCAAGATGTTCTAGGCTCATATCGTACATTTCCTGCTCCAAAGCTGAAATCACCCATTCCTATAAGGAACCTTAGATCCTTTTAGTATGAAATGGCATATAGAGGTCACAATCAGAGTATTACTAGTTTGGTCATTGTTTCCTAGGTCTTTTAAGTAATCAAAGTTAGGAGATTCTGTTAGTTTTACAGCTTTATTTAAGATAAAGTAATTTATGAATTCCTTTATACTGACACTTCCAACTCAAGCCCAGGATTTACTTAACTTTATCAGTATTACACCTATATTTCTTTCATCATGAACTCTTTCTGATCACCTTGGCTAGAAGTGATAGGTCTTTCTTTGAATTATACCACCCTTCAACAACATTCCTTGCAATCAACACAGTAATCTTTGATATATGCTATTTTTGTGTATATCTTCTCCTCCCTACCAAATGGTAAGCAACGTGAGGCTGGAGTCCACATCTCTTTACTCTTTGTTAAATAAAGATTTCTAAGGTGCTAGTATTAATATATTTCCTGGCACATAAATGCTCCTTTCTCTTTGAATCTCTTAAAATATGGAACAGTACTATACATGTACTAAATTTAAAATAAGATTGTTAGATGGATAAATACAAAGTCAGGTTTATCCTCAACTTTCCAGATATAAAATACCAGAAACCCTCCTTTTAGTAGCAATCACATTAAAGGTTGTTTGAAATAAGTTTTATTTCACAGATATAAAACAATTCTGAACATTTACAACTTGTACAAAGACTGGTAGCTTTTATATTTTAAAAAGTGCTATACTAAGAGAACAGGAAAGAAATGAAGACCATAATAACATTTCAAATTACAGGTATAGGGAATGGGAAAATGAAGAAAGTGTTTTAATTAACTACAAAATCTCAAAACTATAATTTTGATTGAAGGAAAACAAATAATACTGGATCTAAAAACAGTGTGAAATCACACTTTGGTCTGTAAACACATTTAGTCATGTTCTTTCACTCAGAAGTACAGGCAAAAGGAAAAGTACAGGCAGAGGATGAGATGGTTAGATAGCATCACCGACTCAATGGACATGACGCTGAGCAAACTCCGGGAGATAATAAAGGACAGGGAAGTCTGGAGTGCTGCAGTCCATGGGTGGCAAAGAGTTGGACATGACTTAGCCACTGAACAACAGCAAAGTACACATAAAAATTATCTAAGGTGTCACACTAAAGTGAACCATTCAAAGGTATAATAAAAAAGAGGTAGGGAATGAAAATGAAAGGATTTACTTTGGGAGCTCTTCAATAATGATGCGAGACACCGAATTCCACCCTGTAGAGGCATCTCCTTTCGGATAATCTGAGCAAGTACCAACCCAGATAGCAATGTCCACTAGTCCAGCACCAATGCCTTCACAGAGTCCTTCCACTGCAAAACAAAGATGAGAGTTACAAATCTCTTCAGAATAAAAAGGCAAAAACTTTCAGCTCAATTTTATTACTTTAGCTTACTAGTGATTAAATCAAGTTAATGTACAGTAAATTTTAAATGCTAGTATTTAATAAGGGTCTCATAAAGATAAGTTCTCATTTTCCTAGTACGTAAGTATTTTTAAAAGATGTATATATATATCCAGGGCTTTCCTGAGAGCTCAGTGGTGAAGAATCTGCCTGCCAATGCAGGAGACACGGGTTTGATACCTGGTCTGGGAAGATCCCACGTGTCACAGAGCACCTAAGGCTGCAAGCCACAAGTGAGCCCACGTGCTGCAACTTGAGGCCCATGTCCCAAGAGACTGTGTTCTGCAACAAGGTAAGCCTCCACAATGAGAATCCCATGCACCATAACTAGAGAAAAGCCCACACAGCAACAAAGACCCAGCACAGCCAAAATAATAAGTGAATTTTTAAAAACTTAAAAAAAAAAAAGACATATACATATCCATTCTACGGTATAAGCTCACAGGAAATTTTCTTTGGGGTTTCAGCCATAAAGGTAGCATTTGTTTACTTACGGAGATGACCTAAAACAAAAAAAGCAATTTATTTATGACTAAATAAAGGAAGCCTACATTTATTTTTTTTCCTTTGGCCACACCATGTGGCTTGCGGGATCTTAGTTCTCTGACCAGAGGCTGAGCCCTAGCCACTAAGAGTGAAAGTACCAAGTCTGAACCACTGCACCAAGCCTACACTTTTAAAAACCAAGATGCTGATGCAGGGAACTTCCCTGGTGGTCCTATGGTTAAGAATCCATCTTGCAATGCAGGGGACGTGGATTCGATCCTTCACCAAGGAACTAAGATCCCACATGCCCCAGGGTAAGTAAACTGCTGCAGCGCAACTACTGAAGCCCGCACGCTCTGGAACCCATGCTATGACTAAAGAGTCTGTGCACCTCGACAAAAGATCTCACATGACGCAAAGGAAGATCCTGTGTGCCACAACTAAGACTCAATTCAGCCAAAAAAATAAATAAATATAAAAAATTAAATAAAGTTGTATTTTCTTTAAAAAAAAAAAAGATGTTGATGCAATATGTAAGCTTTTTTTTTAAAGAAAGACCTTTCCATCTGAAGAAAAGAGCACTGGAAGATGAAAATGCAATTCTGATTATAAGCTGAATCAGTAATTTACATAAACATTTGGGACAAGTTGTTACACCTGAAGCCTCCATATTTTAATTTTCTATCAGCAGACCAAGCTGAAAACACCTTATAGAAGATCAAATTTTAAGTAATTAAAATAATGTCTCATTTTAAGAGTTAAAAAAATAGAGAGCCCTTTCCTATGTATACTTGATGGTACTAAATAGAAGAAAAGACTTCTATAATGTCAAAAGAAACCCTAGCATAATCATTACACTAGCCCTTAAACCTGGAATCCCGTTTACATAGAAATTCCTGCACAGTGAAAAACAAGCTAACTAAATCCTGTTTTTCCTGTGTTTTGTTTTTTGCTTCATAAACGTGCCTTTTCATAGGTCCTCCAGACTTTCACATACTAATATATATATAACCTGCATTCCATCTTATCAAGCCTCTTCTCCAATATTAAAAAAATAATCCCCCTACTGTTCATTTTAATAGGCAAAAGTTAAACCCCTCTGATGTCTGTGTCAGGGGAAAAAGGAACCACAGGTTGGCAGATTCTTTAAGAAAACGGGTCCTGACACATAAGTAGGGTGGGGATGATCGCATGACTGGATCGTCTTCCTATTTGGTTGAGGTTAGTATGCTCAAGCTGAGCCCAGGGATGTAGGCCTGTAACAATCTGCTTCTACCAGCTATAACATCAGTGAATTGAAGGCAAGTCCTACTGAATCCAGGTACCTGTCTCTGGTTCAAGACCCTTTCCAAGTTAGAAGAACTAAGTTGTGCATGCCCGCAATACCCATGGCCTAGAAATGTGTTCACTTCCCTCCACAGGTCAGACAAGGTTGGGTCTGGCATCATCCTCACACAAGGAGAGTCAATGGTCACTTCATGGTCTTTAACAAATAAAATAATGTTTTTTGAATGAATGAACATTTTTTGCTGTAATAAAGTAGTAATAGCTTATTAAGCACCTAAAAGATGTTGAATTAAAGGTCCTCAACCTGTTTTCCTTCTAGATCCAGGTAAGATGATATTCTAAACTCTGATGGGCATATTTAAGGCTTGATGTCATCCTCTGATGTGCAAAATATAAGGGTATTCCTTTTCTTTCTCTCAAGAGAATATCAGTGTGCAAGGAAAGTGAATTCACTATTGAGGCAACCTTTAATTCATTTTAAGACAAAATTTGTCATGAATAACAAATTACTTCTGACATTTTACCCAACTGATCATACCAAATGAGTTTCTATAACGTGGTTGGTAAATGCTATGTTAAATAATTTATGAAGTGTGTGTATGTATAGGTGACAGTTCCTAGGCCTGAGGGCTTACATTATAGCAAGATATTAACATAAAAACTTTAAAGATAATACAATAGTAAGTTGCTTACATAAACTACTATTTTATTTTTATTTATTTTTATGGATTTCATTTTTATTAACTTTTATTGGAGCATAGTTGCTTTACAACATATCTTTTGAACTTTATAATTTAACCTTTAAAATTTAAGTATAGTTCAATTACAATGCTGTGCCAGTCTCTGCAGTACCGCAAAGTGACTCAGTTACACACATTCTTTTTTTCACATTCTTTTCCATTATGGTTTATCATAAGATACTGAATATAGTTTCCTGTGCTATACAGTAGGACTTGTTGTTTATCCATCCTATATGTAATAGTTTACATCTGCTAATCCCACACTCCCAGTCCTTTCCTCCCCCTTGTCAACCAAAAGTCAGCTCTCTATGTTGGTGACTGTTTCTGTTTTGTAGATAGATTCATTTGTGCCATGTTTTAGAGTTCACGTATTAGAGATATCTTAACGGTATTTGTCTTTTTCTGACTTAGTTCACTTAGTCTGATAATCTCTAGATGCATTCAACTACTTACCACTTCCTAATCAAATTTTAGATTTTATACCAAAATATTTAAAATTTTAGTGACTGCTTCTCAGACGAAAAGCACGTCTTCCTTTACAGCACAGAACTTAGTGAAGAGGCTTTTCATTCTGATCAAACCTGTCTTGAGAGACGAGAGCGTCTGTGCTTGGCATCTGTTCACCAGGACACTGATTCTCCTGTTCAGGTTACTTTCTTTCCCTAGGCCTTCTGTATGTGCAGAGAGAAGAGGTTAAAATATCTTCTTTATGTCTTGAGGATACTGTGTGGATTTGAAGAAGAAAATGGAAGGAATGCCCTTGATTCCTTAGCCATAAATGTGCTATATTAATTTGGGGATCAGTATCTGGCTTGGGTCCCTAAGAATGCCGAAATATTTCTTCTGATTAGCAGTAAGGGTATCTCTTCTCTTCCCTCTCCATTCTAAAGTATAAGATCAGAGAGAAATTTTTTCAAGAAATCTGGGAAATGAAGCTAGTGATATATACACCTTGTGATTCTTCTGGTACATGCTGTTAAGGTAGGTCACCCCCATACCTCACTTGCCACACACACACACACACACATACACACACACACAAAACAACTCAAGAAAGCAAAAGAGCTGGCAGTCAAATACTGATAGTGGTGTATCTGGGTGATGACATTAATATTAGGTTGATGCAAAAGTAGTTGTGGTTTTTCATTGTTAAACTTTGCCATTAGATATTGGAATACTTTCTTAAATAAATGTGGTTATGCTAGACATCATTTTAATGTGCATTTCTCACTTTATGCTTTTTTGGTAATGACATTCAGTTCAGTTCAGTCACTCAATCATGTCCGACTCTCTGTGACCCCATGGATTGCAGCATGCCAGGCTTTCCTGTCCATCACCAACTCCCGGAGCTTGCTCAAATTCATATCCATTGAGTTGGTGATGCCATCCAACCATCTCAACCTTTGTCATCGCCTTCTCCTCCTGCCTTCAATCTTTCCCAGCATCAGGGTCTTTTCCAGTGAGTCACTTTGCATCAGGTGGCCAAAGTACTGGAGTTTCAGCTTCAGCATCAGTCTTTGCAGTGAATATTCAGGACTGATTTCCTTTAGGATTGACTGGTTGGATCTCCTTGCAGTCCAAGGGACTCTCAAGAGTTTTCTCCAACAGCACAGTTCAAAAGCATCAATTCTTCAGCACACAGCTTTCTTTGTAGTCTAACTCTCAGATCCATACATGACTACTGGAAAAACCATAGCTTTGACTAGATGGACTTTTGTTGGCAAAATAATGTCTCTGCTTTTTAATATGCTATCTTAGTTGGTCATAGTTTTTCTTCCAAGGAGCAAGTATCTTTTAATTTCATGGCTGCAGTCACTATCTGCAGTGATTTTGGAGCCCAAGAAAATAGAGCCTCTCACTGTTTCCTTTGTTTCCTCATCTATTTGCTATGAGGTGAGGGGACTGGATGCCATGATCTTAATTTTCTGAATGTTGAGTAATCACTTATTACTTGTAGTGTATTTTATACATATTTTAGATTATGGAAATGATGTTAGACAAAAATCAAGTTCGAGTGATTTTCTTATTCAAGTTCAAAATGGGTCATAAAGCAGCAGAGGCAACTTGCAATATCAACAATGCATTTGGCCCAGGAACTGCTAATGATCGTACAGTGCAGAGGTGGTTCAAGAAGTTTTGCAAAGGAGATGAGAGCCTTGAAGATGAGGAATGTAGTGGCCAGCCATTGGAAGTTGACAATGATCAGCTTTGATGATCCTCTTACAGCTTCCCAAGAAGTTGCCAAAGAACTCAATGTCGACCGCTGTACAGTCATTTGGCATTTGAAGCAAATTGGAAATGTGAAAAAGGTTGATAAGTAGGTGCCTCACGAGCTAACCAAAAATTTTAAAAATTGTCATTTTTGAAGTGTCATCTTCTCTTATTCTATGCAACAACAACAAAGCATTTCTCAATCAGAATGTGATGTGGGATGAAAAGTGAATTGTATATGACAACTGGCAATGGCCAGCTCAGTGGTTGGACTGAGAAAAAGTTCCAAAGCACTTCACAAAGCCAAACTTGTACTACAGAAAAGGGCATGGTCACTGTTTGGTAGTTTGCTGCTGGTCTGACCCACTACAGCTTTCTGAATCCTGGGGAAACTATTACATCCGAGAAGTATGCTTGATGAAAGTGAAAGTGTTAGTCGCTCAGTCGTGTCTGACTCTTTGTGACCCCATGGACTGTAGCCCATCTGGCCCCTCTGTCCATGGGATTCTCTAGCCAAGAATACTGGAATGGGTTGCCATGCCCTTCTCCAGGGAATCTTCCCAATCCAGGGAGCAAATCCGGGTATCCTGCACTGCAGGCAGATTCTTTACCATTTGAGCCATCTGGCAAGCCCGAGAATTGATGAGATGCACAGAAAACTACAATGCCTGCAGCTGGCACTGGTCAGCAGAGTGGGCACAATTCTTCTCCACGACAATGCCTGATTGCACATTGCACAACCACCACTTCAAAAGCTGAATGAATTGGGCTACAAAGTTTTGGCTCATCTGCCATATTTACCTGACCTCTTGCCACCTACTACCACTTCTTCAGGCATCTAGAATTTTTTGCAGAGTAAACACTTCCACAACCAGCAAGAGGCAGAAAATGCTTTCCAAGAGTTCATCAAATCCCAAAGCATGAATTCTTACACTACAGGAATAAACAAACCTATTTCTCATTGGCAAAAATGTGTTGATTATAATGGTCCCTATTTTGATTAATAAAGATGTGTTTGAGCCTAGTTAATAATGATTTAAAATTCATAGTCCAAAACTGCAATTACATTTGCACCAACCTAACAGTTTTTTCCACTTCTACTTTTTCGTAGCTTCTAAACTCTTTCAATGAACCTTAAAATACAATGAAACAAATCAACTCTTCCCCCCCAAAAAAACATAAAAACCCCAACGGTTTTACATTTTTTTGTTTATCTATTTGGTTTTTTTTGGTTGTGTGGAGAGGCATATGGGATCTTCCTAACTAAGGATGGAACCTGTGCCCTCTGCAGAGGAAGCATGGCATTTTAACCACTGGACCACCAGGGAAGTCCCAGGTTTTGTTGTTTTTTTTTTTTAACAGCCTAAGTAACCACTGGTTTAATCAAATGTCCCTTCTCTCATACCAGTAGAAGCAAGCAGAGAATACAGAAACAATATAGAAATGTTCTCTCACAGATGCAGCAGACTGTACCTACTATTTTAAAGAACAGACAAAGAAATCAGCCTCCTAATCAGTCTATGCTAGTGGTTCTCAACCTTGGAGGACATTAGGATAACCAGGAGAGACTTGGGAAGTTCCGACACGTGGGATGCAACCAGACCTATTAAGTCAGACTCTATAGAAGAGCGGTACCCAGGCACGGCGATTTTTCAAAGTTCCCCAGCTGAACACAAGGTAGAGACAAGGTTGAAAACCACTGCTCCATGGCATTACTGGCTGTTTTGCCATTTCATCTAACTCAGTGATTTTCAACCTTGTGATCTTTTTAGAAAAAATACAGCGGCTGGGTTTTAACCATGAGATTATGATTCAGTTGATCAGAGATGGGATTCAGGCATCCACGTATTTTTTAAAAAGATCTACAGGAAATTCTGAAGTGCAACCCAAGTGGAGAACTATACACAGAAAGCCTGTGATGACCTACCGTCATGGTGGATTCAATACTAATCTTTGCTCACTAAAGATCTGAGGCGCATTCTGCAACGTCACTATTCTACATACCAGAAGAAGTGCGATGAATATTAATTGTTGAATTCAATTCAGGGCTTCCTTGGTCCAAATAAATTATGGCTTCAATAGGAAGAGGTCCTGAACACTCAGCTCCATTGAACGTGAAATACCAACGCTGACAGCATGCACTTCTGCATTTTAACCGAAGTGAGCCGCTGAACAAAACTCTTAGGGCACTGTTCGAACGCATCTTTGTGAATGTACATTCCTATCACAAACACAGAAATACATTTTTAAGTAAAAAGATGCTTTCAAACTATATTGTGAATTTTATTCAACTATTCTTTTCCCCAAAGTACATTTAAAGAGCTTAGCTTTTACAGAGGCAAACCAGTTCTCTGCAAGATGGTAAGACACTGATATTAGAAACTCTAAGAAAATTGAATTATGGCTTTCTTAGAATTATTCACTCCATTGAGGGTATCTCTCAGTTTTACAAAAACAGCCAGTTTTCAGAATTTTAGACTAAACCAATCTATATATTTACTTTTCTTTTTCTTCCAAAATTATTTCCTATATTTTGGATGCTACAGATAACAGCAGTAAACAAAATGGAATCCCTGCCATCATGGAACTTGCATTCTAGACTAGCACTGCCCATATATATTACTCTGACCTGTTTCATTTCAAGCACCAGAAAACAGCATCAGGAGTAAAGTGCAGGTGGGGTTTTTAGTCTTTAACTCTATGACACAATGATAAGACCGAGGGCTTTTTCCTGTAACTGGTCCTTGCAAAATTTGTCTACTGACTCATGGTGCTACTATCTTTTACTTGCAAAAGGCTCCCAAGCCCATTCTGACCACCAAAAGGAAACTGGAAACATATTAATAATTCAGAATCCATAGGGAAAGTTTTTAAAGAGAACTCCACCAGCAAATTTTGATGAACTATAAAAAAGCAACCAGTCTATAATGTCAAGTGTTCAAAGAAGTAGGCAACACTCTAACAAAATGCTTTCTAAGAAATCATATATGAAAGTATAACTGGTCATAGTCACCAAACTATGAAAGCTAAATGGATATTCTATCACACAGAAATCAAACCGAGACCATCTCAAACATTTTTATAAATAACAGAGCAGACATTAAAGAGCTAAGATGAGGAGCAGGGATAATATACAGGTTGCTACTTAGAACCTGAGAGTTTTTGGAAAATAAAATTTCTTCTATTTGCCTGGTGGTAGTAGTGGTTAATATCAAGGAATAATACATTGTGGATATGAAACCATGTGTAGAGTTGGTCAACAAAAGAATAAAGAGGCTTGAAATGGCACCAGCTTCAACTCTATGCCATCCAAGGGACTTGCCAGTTACTTTGGAAGCAAACACTAAACAAAGTGATTGAATCATTAATTCAAATGCATGGCAAGACAGGCTATTTTGAGTAATTTTTCTCCCTAAAGATTGCTGAATAATTTTAAATGATCACTGTAGTATATCTCTAGCCCATTCTACTCCCATAGGCCAAATAATTTTAAGCTGGGTCTGCTACCCAGAATAAGGACAAATACCACTAGACTTCCCACCTCTAGATAATTCCAATCATGCAGTAATTTCTTGGAGATTTCTTTCCACCTTTATGTCTGGAACCACAGCAGAATTTCTTGAATTAATTTAAATTCACTTTAGGACAAGAGTGGAAAGTTACTTACTGTCCAACCCAGACAGTTTCCATTGAAAAAAAAAAAAGAGTAAGTTATTTTAAGTGTTCTTAGGGTTGAAATAATTCAGTGACGTATTTGTCTCAGAAATACCTTTATACAATTAATTCTGAAGTTATCAATTTTTTCATTAATTCTAAGTTGAAAGTCACATGGTACCCATTCCTTAATATTTTTTGTCTTTTAGGAAAAATAAAATCTCACCTAAAATGATCACTCAACTATGAAAACCTTTAAGTTTTATTTCAACCTTACAATAATTCAGACTAGACTTACAGCAATTTTTCCAAGATCTATGCCATAATTCAGTGAACTCCATGAACACTGCTTGTAGTTAGGCGTCCAGGACTCCTCGAAGACTTCCCGCAGGCATTCCCCCTTCTCTCCTTTGAATCCATCTCGACCTGGGATCCCGGGGGTACCAGGGATGCCATTGGCCCCGGGGCTCCCATCTCGCCCGGGCACCCCCGCCGGCCCTTGTAAGCACATGCCATTGTACTGCAGCAGAAAAAAGAAAGGGGAAACATCTCTCACCACCTCAGATTCAAAGGCCCAGTCTGATTAGAACTGCATTTATTTTGAGCCCTAGGAGTCAAGAATCCCTTCGACGGGAACCAGTTGCCAGTGTTCCAGATAAGTCAATAGTGTATATATATATATATATATATATATATATATATATATATATATATATATACATATATATGTACATATGGGGTTTTAGTTCCCTGACCAGGGATCAAACCTGCACCTGTAGCATTGGAAGCTCAGAGTCTTAACCACAGGACCACCAGGGAAATCCCATATACATAAAGAACTGATTTTTAAAGTTATTCCTAAAATATTGGAATTTCTTTCCTATTCTTTTTTTTTTTTTTTTGCACAGACTACACACATACACACACACAAACAACAAAGAAGAGAAAATATTTTCGTTTGTCTGCTTTTTCCTACTGCTCATTGTCAATTGATGTTTTAGTCGCTAAGTCGTGGCCAACTGTTTTGTGACCCCATGGACTGTACCCCACCAGGTCATGGGATTTCCCAGGCAAGAATACTGGATGAGGTTACCATTTCCTTCTCCAACTGCTCATTAAAAGTATACAAAATTTTTAAATGGCTGTATTCCAAAGTGAACATAATCTGATATAATGTTTATTCTTCTAACCCTATATATTGTAAAGGGACTTGGATTTCAGAACTGCAGTTTTATGCAAACATTGCACTAGTTTGGGATTGCTAAGTTATTTCTATTCTATCATAATGAAAATCTTTATCTACATAGCTTTATTCTTTTTTTTGAATTATTTCCCTAAGATAAATTCTTAGAGATACAATTATAAAAGAAAATCTTAACTCAATACTTATTTCACACTGGCAATGTCTCTAAGCTGGATAAGCAAACCTTCTCCTCTTATTTTCATGTGGAGGAAGTGTCACTAGGGGAACACTTCTGGCCTCCAAATCCACCTGGCCCACCCTGCCAAGGAGTAGGAGTAAGTGACTTCATTGCAAGTGTCCATTAGTCTTTAAGAGGGGAACAGTAATCTATCAAAAAAATTTTTGGGTAGCTTGATTTATTTATTAATGGTTGTGTTGGGTCTTCATTGCTGTGCAAGCTTTTCTCTAGTTGCAGCGAGTGGGGACTGCTCTCTAGTTAAGGTGCACAGGTGTCTCACTGCAGTGGCTTCTCCTGTGCAGAGCACCGGCTCTAGGCGCACAGGCTTCGGTACGTGTGGCTCATAGGTTCAGTAGCTGTGGTTTCCAGGCTCTGGAGCACAGACTCAACAGTTGTGCACAGGCTTAATTGCTCCGCGGCAGGTGGGATCTTCTCTGATCAGGGATCAAACCTGTGTCTCTTGCCTTGGCAGGCAGACTTTACCACTGAGGCACCAGGGAAGCCCCTATCAAACTCTTAAATGCTATGATTCTCTCTTTCTCTTGGGGAGTGGTGCAGTAATATGATGTAGAGGTTGAGTGAAGGATTCTAGTCATATTCTCTGGATTTTAATTTTGGCTCCACCACTTACAAGCTATGTGAGATAGGACACGTCATTGAACACTTCAACGCCTGTTTCCTAATCTAAAACGCAGGGGGAAATAATAAAGACTCTTACCGCGTAGGAGATTTAAGTGAGATGATACATAAAATGTGCTAGAGCGGTACCTGGCACGCAGTAAATATTATATTTTTCAGCCATGATTATTCTTATTATTCCCCTAAGACTGTGTGAGGCAGTTGCCCAGGGCACCAGACCTGGGGAAGAGAGCATTAGCAAACTCGCCAGCTAACACACATAAGCCATGAGCCACACACAGCAAAACAGTTGCATCAGTGGTAAAACTGCATCTCCATCAGCCTAATTCCCATACCTATCCCTGAACTGGTCCATTTATTAGACCCTTCAAGCCCCAAACCCAATTTATTTAAAATGTTACTTTAAAATCCCTATTTGTATAAATGATCGGATACTATCATTCTGTATAAATCTACTGTCCAGTGAGAACAACAACAAAAAAATCAAATTACATATTAAAATAACTTCAAATCTTATTTTTGAATTTTAGCATCCAGGATTGGATATGGTCATATTATAAAATTCAGGCACTTCCCTGCTGGTCCAGTAGCTAAGACTCTGAGCTTCCAATGCAGGGGGCCCAGGTTTGATTCCTGGTCAGAGAACTAGATCCCATATGCCGAAACGAAGGACCTCGTATGCCAAAACAAAGATGGAAGATCCCATATATGGCAACTAAGACCCAGTACAGCCAAATAAATAAACATGTTTTTAAAAAGTCAGTAATGACATTACCTAGAAAAGGTCCTTATTATCTAATGTTTGCCGATCAATCTCCTCACATCAACAATTTGAGTTTTATTTTGCTAAATGATTTTTGTGGCTTCCACCACTGATATTTTCCTGACTTCAAGCAAAAGAAAGAAAAGAGACACTTCTAGGCATTTGCTGCCAGAGAAATAAGAAATGTATTTAACAAAATTGCAAAAGTATCTGAAGACATGCCAAAGTACAAAACATTATAGTTTGGTTTATTTTATGCTTAATTTCCATTTTTTTTGTAGATATACTTTAATCTTATTTTGTAGATTGATTTAGTAGATATACTTTAATTTTCACTTAGTAGATATGTTACTTTTAGTAGTAGATATATGCAATATTCAGACACAGATTTCAAGTGGGAAGGAAGAAATAATAACGTTTCTGGTATTTAAAAAAAATTTTTTCACTATTATTTCCCTGAGAGCAAGATGTTACACAAAGTTTTATTTTTCTATATATAAATTCTCAGTGGGGGACAAAACTGGATACCGGGATAACAGAGGCTGCCCAGCAACGTCTGAAGACATTTTTGGTTGTCACTACTTGGGAAGGAGGGATTGCTATCGGCACTTGGTAGATGGTAGTGAAAGTCGCTCAGTTGTGTCCGACTCTTTTCGACCCCATGGACTATACAGTCCATGGAATTCTCCAGGCCAGAATACTGGAGTGGGTGGCCTTTCCCTTCTCCAGGGGATCTTCCCAACCCAGGGATTGAACCCAGGTCTCCTGCAACGCAGGAGGATTCTTTACCAGCTGAGCCACAAGGGAAGCCCAAGAATACTGGAGTGGGTAGCCGTTCCCTTCTCCGGGGGATCTTCCTGACCCAGGAATCGAACCGGGGTCTCCTGCATTGCAGGTGGATTCTTTACCAACTGAGCTTTCAGGGAAGCCCAAGAAGGTCGGGATGTTGCTAAGCATGCCAGATGCACAGCGCTGTCCCCACAACAAAGCCTCCCGGCTCCAAATGTCAACTGTGCTATGGTTGAGAATTTTTATTCACCTTTTTAATCTAAAAAACTGCATTGAGAGACCGCATAATTTTACTGAATTCGGTTCCACAGGTATTAATCTGTCTTCTTTCACTTTGAAATGCTAACCCAGCACATGATCAGTACCATGCAGGGCTTCCACTAAGGTCTGCGGAATGAACCCCTGTTTCTTTCACTGGCCACCAGGGGGCAGAGCTTGCTGGACGCTTGAAAGGAAGGCTTTGAAAAACCTTGTACAAAGAAGCTGCTTTATAGAATCTGTTGAAATCTTAATGACTGCGAGGATTCTTTTCCCCCAGCAAAACCAAATCCAATCTACAGGATGCACCTGAGCCTGGCTGCACAATAAACTTTTCCAAGTCGGGCTAGAGTTGTGGGAAACCTCAGGTTCTGTAAATCCTTGGAGGGAAAGGAAAAAAATTGCTAGCTTTATAGGGAAAAAGGGTATTTTGTGTATCATAACTACAGACTCGTAAAATGCAGACTGCACATGAACCACATTCATTTGGTACAGTTTAAAACAATTTAGACACTCAAAATAGAACTATAGCCCTGAACACATAGTCTGCTTTGTGGAGGAAAATTACATAGTACATCACCAAAAAGTGCAGTGTGGAACGACAGGAATCTTTTTCCTGAGCTTTTGAATCTGGCATAGAACTAGCAGCCAGGGAGCTTGGTTTATTAGCTCAGTTTACAATGGCAGCTTAAAAAATTCAAAACAGTTTGTTTTTATTTTAAAATTTAAAAAGTGCCCCTTTTATGTCCTGCAATGATTGTATAACCCATATTTGCTCAATGACTGAAGTTTATTATATGCCAAGGAATGTGATAGATTTGAAAGGATCATTCTTGCTACAAGGGCAGAATACCATTCTGCCCTCCAATGGGTTTGCTGACTTTTAGAGGGTTTTAAGAGCTTTAAGCAAACAGACCTGCCCATAGATTAGTCCCTCAGAAATCACTTGGGTGACTTCCCTGGCAGTCCAGTGGTTAAGACTCCCCACTTCCCTTGCAGGGTACATGAGTTCATCCTTGGTCAGGGAACTAGGATACTGCATGCCATGGGGGCCACCAAAGAAAGAAAGAACTTGGGCTATTCATTGCTCTCCTGGGAACTGTCTGATCCCTCAGTTCAGTTTTCATGCTCCTACCTGGTGTCACAGGCTGAAGACCCAGCTTGTCTAGAAGGACTGACTGCCCATCTGTCTAAATACAACGAAATGGGTCCTTGGAGGGCTAGTGCTGGGCCCCTTCATTTTGTCTTCTGATCATAAACCCTCTGAGCTATTCCTGGCCCAGCTGTGACAAAGTAAACTGCAGCACATACTCCCTAGGAAGATGACCCAACATGACTCACTGTCATCAAGTTACAAAGAGTTGGACCGATACTGGGTGAGGGTTGTTATTCTATCCCGCTGGCGGACGTGGCCACCAGCCCCAACAAAGGACACGTTGCAAGTCCCTGGCCCAGGCCCACCCAGGGGATTAGCGAATCCAGGGTCTCGCAGACAGCTCCTTGGCCTACGCTCTAACCTCCCAAGCTCCTTATTCTATCCTCACTGCAGCCCAAACCCTCTCCGTCTCTGGAGGCGGGGGACGAGGTGGGGCGGCGCAGAGGTCAGAAATTATTGGGCGACTCCTTGTACTCCGGGCGTCCCACCCAACCCACGGCGCATCTGTGGTCCACGACGGCCCTCTCAGACCAGTCTCCCTCGCGAGTTCCGGGACTCCACCATCCGCAGAGCCCAGGTCCTTTCTTACCCGCAGACTCAGACAAAGCGGGACCCCCAGGGGCAGGCAAGACCCCCACCCCCTTCCCTGGCCCTGCTCCGCAGCTCTGTCCCCTCCACCCGACTCACCAGGTCCACCACCTCCCTCTGCCGGAGCAGAGCCTTTTGCTTCCCTTTGGGCGTCTCGGAGGCGCTCGACGGCGCCCGCGGCTGCAGCAGCAGGAGCAGCAGGAGGCCAAGCAGCCGCCGCGGGGAGGCGGCGGGGCCCTGGGGGCGCATGGCGCGCGGCGGCCCCGGGACGCACGGAGCTGGAGAGGAGAGACCCGGGAGCCCGGACGACGTGATCACAGTCTGGCCCCGCCGCGCTCCGAGGCCACCGCCGCTGGTTGCATGAATGCGCCTTTCACTCGCACGCTTCCCTCTCTCCCCTCTCTCCCCCCTCTCCCTCCCGCCCCTCCGGACACCAGAGTTTCCATCCAGTAATAGGTCGGAGCCCCCACCCCGATCCCGAAGTGGGGCGGGCCGACAGCCGAGCCCGCCCCGTCCTGCGGCCGCCCCGCCCGCCGGGACCCTCGCGGGGCTGTGCGGACCGCGTGGATCAGTCGCCGGCGGAGCGGGGGGAGGTGGGCGGGTGGGGTGCAGAGGCCAGCGAACCACACAGGTGGAGGCTTTGAGGACAGCCTGGAGATAGATGGCACGGCTTAACTGAACACTGTAGAGACTTTGGGTCCAGGAACACCTGGATCAAACCCTGGCACGTGGACAAGTTCTTTTTTAGGAGATGACATTTGGTGGGGGGAGGATAAGAGATGAGAAGGAATCATAGGTATCATAGGTATCATCGGATTCAAAGCATTTATCCTACTACCTCTGAATACATCATCCCCAGGGACCCATGACTCAAAAATTAAGAACCCCTGCTTCATAATGAGTGGTAAAACTTGCAAAACTCCAGGAACCAAATAGTCTTTCACACACACTCTCTGCCTTCTTGGCAATCCTGTGGAAATTGAAAGACCCTGATGCTGGGAAAGATTGAAGGCAGAAGAAGAGGCAACAGAGGATGAGATGGTTGGATGGCATCACTGATTCAATGGACATGAACTTGGGCAAGCTCAGGGAAATGGTGAGGGACAGAGAAGCCTGGCATGCTGCAGTCCTTGAGGTCATGAAGAGTTGGACACAACTTGGCAACAGAACAACAACAACTGCTTGCCCCATTCACAGATGAGAAAACTGAGGTTCAGGAGGCTAAGCAACATTCAGTGGTAGAAGTCACCCTTGACTTCTCATTGATAATTATCTTTTTCTAACCTCTTCTGTCTTCCTTTGTCCATTCTGGAAGAAACATCCTCAGATACCCTGGTCACCCACCAGCTAGGGTCAGGCTGAAGTATGAGCAACTCTCCTCACCTCTGGCTGCAGTCAGGCAGGACAGAAGTGTTGCTATACCAATAATAACAATGTGGAAGTTTCCAAGAGAATCGTGATGCTACTGAGGCCAGATTCAGCAGCAGGGTTCTCTTTACAGACCCAGCCAGGTTCTGGGAAGTTATGGTGGGCCCAATAGATGGATATCAGTGAGAAGGAATAGTCTAGCAGAGGAGCAGTTCAGGGCAGTTCTAGGATTGTTCATCTTGGGCCAGTGACTAATCTCAGGTAAGTTCCATTCCTGTTTGTCGGAAGAAGCAAACATCCAAATGGGTTCTAAAGCCAGGACTGGCTGCCTATGTGGGGCCCAGTACAAACTAAAAATGCTGGATCCTTTGTTAAAAAATTATTAAGAATTTCAAGATAGTGGTAACAGAACAATCCACCAGGCATGGGACCCTTCTCAATGCAACCACATGGGTTGTTTACCCATGAAACCAGCCCTGTGTGAAGCTGATGCCCTTATGCAGCCAAACCAGTGTGGTGGCAGCTGTCCATGGGCTGGAGAAGAGAGGTGGGCGACACCAGAGAATCTGTCTTCTATTCAAGCACCATTCTTGCTGCTGTTACTACCACCCAGTGACTTCAGATGGCCCCTCTCTGTGAGGTCAAGATTGGGGTTTCAGCAATTAGCTAATACTGTATTAACATCCATGCATTTTTTAAAAGATTTTTTTTGGATGTGGATCATTTTGAAAGTCTTTATTGAACTTCTTACAATATTGCTTCTATTTTATGCTTTGGTTTTTCTGGCCATGAGGCATGTGGATCTTAGCTTCTTGACTAGGGACCAAACCCACACCCCTTGCATTGGAAGGTGAAGTCCTAACCGCTGGACCACCAGGGAAGCCCCAGCATTTATGCTTTTTTAATCTACACATTCACATAGCTAATTAAGTTACACTGTAAGAGAAGTAGACTGGATACCATTGTCTATTTTTCAAAGATTATATATAATAATGTATAAGTGCTTTACAACATACAAAGGGCTCTCACATATCTGATCTCCCAGATCCTATAACTCCATGGTTTTGCAAAGTCATTTACACTACTACCTCTGAAATTTGAGTCTTCTTGGTTTAAAACTTAGACCCATTCTAACTTAATAGGTTTTAATTCCAGTTGGGGGTTATGGATTAGTTCAGAGTCCTAGGTGCTATTTCCAGAGTGATCCTTCCCAAAGATTTCCAAGTGTATACATATTTTCTGTTCAAATATTTGTTTTTTTCTATTGAGCTATTAATGTATTTCTTATCTGTTATAAAAACTCCTTTAAGAGTGACATCTTTAAAATGTTTAATCTTCCCATTTAGAGACATAATATAGCTCCCTGTTTTTCCAAATCCTCATTTATGCATAGGTAAAATTTTTCTTTATATAGGTCTTATGAATTCCTCATTCTGGCTGTTATGTATTTTGCTGCTGTTACAAAGGGAATCTATACCTCCACGCTGATTATATTATTGTTATATTACCATGTAACAAATTGGAGAATCTTAGTGACTTAACACAACACGAATTTTATTACCTCCCATTTTTGTGGGTCAGGAGTCCAGCACATGTTAGCATCGTACAAAGCTGAAGTCAAGGTGTCAGCTGAGTGAGTCCTTATCTGGAAGCTTGACTGGGGAGAGATACACATCCAGGCTTCCTTAAGTTGTTGGCAGAATTCATTTCCTTGTGGTTATAGGACTGAGGTTCCTGCTTGCTTGTTGTCTGTTATCTGGGGATCATTCTCAGCTTCTAGAGGCCACTGTCAGGTCTATGCCACATGGCCCCCTTCCATAGATCCTCTGTCACACTTTGAATCTCTGACTTCAGGAAGGGTGCCGTCTGTTTTAAGGGCTCAAACAATTAAGTCATGCTTGCCCAGGATAATCTCCCTTTTGAGTAAGTCAAAGTAAAATGATTAGGGAACTTAATTGCACCTGCAAAATCCCTTCTGCCACATAATGTAACAAGGGAGTGACATCCATCATATTCACAGTTTAGCTCATATTCAAGGGGATTCGAGGGGATTATATACCATAGGACAGAAATCTTAGTGGTCACCTCAGATTTCTCTCTACCACGTGTATCACCTGGCTATCGCTGGAAGCTTTTGATTTGTATCACTTGCCTCCTTATTGTTCTTGTGCCTGATGCACAGTGAGGCTAGACAATACTGAAATGCGGAGTTTGGAGAGAAGAAAGGTTTATTATAGGGCTAAGCAAGGCAACCCACTCCAGTATTCTTGCCTGGAGAATCCCAGGGACAGAGGAGCCTGGTGGGCTGCTGTCTGTGGGATCACACGGAGTCGGACACGATTGAAGTGACTTAGCAGCAGCAGCAGCAAGCAAGGAGAAGGGTAGCTCATACCCCCAACCCCCCTGAACACCCTGAAGGGTTTCAGCAAAGCCTTTATAAAGGCCAGGTGAGGAGGGGCTTTCCAAGGTATGTGGTCAGCTCATGCACAATTCTCTGATTGGTTGATGTTTAGGTAACAGAGTGGTTAACGAACATTATCAGTTCTTAGGTGCCAGTAGGTCTGGGGGCTATGTACTTGTAATCATCAAGTAGTTAATTTCTTCTATTTGGTGGTGGTTTTTAGCATCTGAAAAACTCTGGAAATATGCCTCAGATATCATTATCTGGGTACTTCAGAGAGGAGCTAGAGCAGAGGATATGGGGGAAGGGCCCACCTGGAAAGCCCAATAGGGTCCTATTCAGTTACATTTATAGAAAGCAACCAGTCTGGTGGATGGCAAGGCCAGGAAGGCCAATGGAAGTATTCCAGGGACTTCCCTGGTGCACCAGTGGTTGGGACTTTCCTTCCAATGCAGGGGGTGAGGGTTCAATCCCTGGTCAGGGAGCTGGGATCCCACATGCCTCACTGCCAAAAAACCAAAACATAAAACAGAAGCAATGTTGCAACAAGGTCAAAAAAGACTTTAAAAATGGTCCACATCAAAAAAATCTTAAAAAAAAATATTCTAATCACACTAGAGGTTGGAGTCAGCCAACAGAGTTCTATATTTCTTTTGTAGGAAAACAAATACAGGCAATTCTCAGCTTTTTAAAATGGTTAAGCATTCACATATGTCTCCATCACCCTTTGCATGCCAGGTGTATCTTTGATGCATCAGTTGATGATAAGCATTTCAAAGTATCACATGATCACTCCCTGCCAGTCAAACTTTTCATTTCAGCAGCATTTCTATCTTTGTAACATTATTTGTGCAATTATTTGACTTTTTTTTCTTTTGGTATTTTCTTCTAAAAAAAGAGCAGGAAAAGAGAAAAGTAGTGATATGAGTAAGAGCTCATAAAGAGTATAGTCGAAATAAATATAGAAATAAATGGTCTAAAAGTGCCAATTTTTTAGAATCAAAGGGACATTTACTGGAATTGAGGTAGAACTTAGTTATCAGTCAAGGTCTAGTCAGAATAGCATAAAGCATACTAGATATTTCAACCAGAGGAGGTTTAATACAGGAGATTGGTCACCTGGATGTTGGAAAGCCAGGAAATAAACCAGACTGAAGGAAGCAGCTGCCATCCCTAGGGCTGGAATCCAAAACAGACGAGTCTCTGGGGGAGGTCCTAGAAGTTAGAGCTTGGAGGAAGTGGCAGCCCCATCTCAGGGGTGCACAGCTGCTTCTTAGACTTCTGGCTGGAACACCAAGTCCATAGAACTTGGACTACCAAGGAGGTCATGGGCAACTGGTGCTTGCACCTCTGCGGGAGCGTAGCATGGTCAAGGGAGGCTGGAGGCAGAAGCTGTCGCTATCCTCTGCTGAGTTACTTACTAGGTACTTTTACCTGGTGCTTATAAGGTGCTCAATACACTTTAGCTTTTACCTTTCTT